TGCCCTGGCTATACTGCAGGTTAGGGCAGAAGATAGTCCAAGAGGTGGCCTCTTTCTCAGTGTTAAATGAAAAGCAGAGTCAGCGATTCCCCTTTCCTTCCTCAGTGTTTCCTGTAATGCACTTTTCTCTTTTCCCTCGCAAGCCAAAGATGACAGAATAGAAACCGCTAATAAGAAATCAGAAAGTCCACAGTGGGAAGTAAGACAACCATCCTAGCCTCTCCTTCCTCAATCCCTCAAGGCCAAAATGCAGCAGGCTTTTATTTTTTGTGACTCCTAATTATATCTTTATTCTTCCCGACTCCAGCTAAGCCTTAACGGTGGACCAAAATATCTAGTCCACATCCCTGAAAAATCCTATGGGAACAGATTCTCCAAGTTTGCTTACTGATATAAGGAAGAGACAAAAGAATTGGGAGAGCTCTGCCTTGCAAGGCTATTGTCCTGTTGCATAATCCCATTTTTGAGTGGGAAAAGCTGGCACTCTGTTTTCCTTGGCATTCTTTCTGCAACAGATTTGAATTTCTTCATTTATTTATAGTCCAGAAGCACCCAAATTTTAAAAAATCCTGAACTTGTGAAAATCTCAGAATTGTTTTAGGTTATGCACAGTTATGAGTATTAATTTTGCGGGTGATGCAGATGTTCTGGAATTAGGTTAACGGTGATGGTTGTACAACTGTGAATCTCCCCCTGGCCAAAATGAAGAAACTCTAAATAGGTTTACAGATTTAATTTATAAAATTTATACAAATTTAAATACTTACATTTATCAATAAACACTATTAAAAGACACAAAAAATACCGTGAAAAACAATTATGCTATTCACATGATAAATATAGAATCTGTCTTTTAAAAAATTAATTCATAGTACACCAGAGTCACTGTTGGCCCAGTCAAGAGACACAAATTTACCTTTGACGCCTAACCTCTTGAGAGTCTAAATCAAGAGGCCCTTTGAGAAAGGGGAGGTCCACATAAATATGGCTTACTCAGTGGTATTGGACAAGAAAGCCTAACCAAGTCACATTCTCCTGAACAGCACCTACTTACACCCCACTACATTAGGGGGGCAGGGAATGATTTCTACTCTCAGGAACCCATTGATTTCCATCTTGATGGTGTGAAGGACAGGATCGGCGTGTGTCCCATTGTGCAAAGTCCTGGGACGTGATAGCCACTATTCCCATTCACCCATTCCCTCAGTATTTAGTAGTTATCTGCCTAGTCTGAGCCTGAACTAAGTGGGAATATGCTAAGTGGGAGCGTGGGTAGGGGGGCGATGATGACATGCATCCAGGATCTGGTGCACAGTGAGGCCTCAGGAAATGTCCGTCTTGATAACTATGGATGTGTTTAAGAAAAGTGTCCCAATTACAGTCTGGTGTAGAACTCTCTTGCTTGATGCAATTCACAACGCCCTTCTGGGAGGAAATTAGCATTCTTGATATATGCTTATGCAATTTTCTGATAAACTTTAACAAGATTAAAACCTCTTTGGGGAAATCAGCTACCCAACACTCAGCTGATTATCAGACATTCTTTGTCTTGTATTCATTTTAATAATGATTACCCAACCATTCTCTTTTCCTATGAAATGTCCTTAACGAAAGGGAACTCTGACTTGGCTTTGTGGTAAGATTGAAATAAAACTTTGACATATGCTTATAACTAATGTATCTGAAAAGAATTTAAAACAGTCATTATGAAGATAGGCCATAAGAATAATAGCTAACATTTATTAAGTTCCTGCTGCTTGCCAGATATTACATGAAAGGTTTTGTTATAGCTCAGCTCACTTTCTCTTTATAATGAGTTGAGTTATAATAGCCCTGATTTACTTATAAGATGATCAGAGAGGTAAAGTGACTTGCCCAAGATCACACAGCCAGTAAACGGCAGAGCTCGGTTTTGAGCCCAGGCCTGTCTGAGTCCAGAGCTGGAGCTAGCAATAGCTGCACTTTGCTGCCTCTGCCAAAGGAATTATAGCAGGAGGTAGAGAGTGGGATAGTTTCTAAGACAGCGGACAGATGTAAGACTGTGGGACTGCAGAGGAGGGAGGAAGCCCTCTCAGGTAGAAGCCTTGGGAAGGAAGTATGGAGGAAGAGGAAGTAGGGGAGGGACATTGGAAACAGGAGGGCACCCAAGAGCAACGGCAAAGGCAGAGGCAGAGCCAAGGCCCAGGCAATGTTCAGAGGAGACTGTAGAGTTTGTTAAACTAAAAATAAAAAGCCAAAGTGAGAGGCAACAAGCTTTCGCTTTATATCTATATTTATATCTAATCTATATCTATATCTATCTATAGCATCAATCTATGTATCTCTCTCTATATCTAGATATATAGGTATTTATATAGAGATATATATCAAGCAAATATATATGTCAAATCTATATATGTATATAGATTTATTTATTTATATATAAAATAGCTATTTAAGAAGCACTGATTCAGGCAGAAGCCCCAACAGTGTTTTGGTTAAGGGGACAAAGGCAAGGGGTATTTATGAGAAAGACACAATAGAAGGAAGCCATTTCTATAACATCCTGACACTAATTCTAAACAATGTTTTAAATTCTCAGTCCAGTAGTTATCAGTTCAGTAGGTAGGTAGAATATTTACTCTCTTGTTATTTTTTGCCAACAGTTCTTTGGGGCACCAGGCTGCTTTAGGCCCAGTCCGAAGGTAATTTTGCCCTCTTTTAACCTTCCAACGATTTGAGGCGTTAGATGTGCAAGGCAGTTCCTCTGGCATGGCAGCTCCTGCTTCATGTTAAAGTGGCTCCGTTTATATTGTTTACAAGTTCCATCTGGCAGCTGCAGGATGGTCCCCAGTCCTTTCAATAATGAGGACGCTGTCATCTAGTGTTGTGGACCCTCTGTACTGCTAGTTGGCTATTTATGACTCTGAATTCAGAGTGACCGTCCCAGTTCCATCACTTACGAGCTATGTGACCTTGGGCAGGTCACTCCACCTCTCTGAGGTGAAGGTTTCCTCATGTGAAAATTGGGGCGGGGGTAATCATAGCATCTCTCTCATAGGATTGCTGTGAAGATTAAATGAGATAAACCATGAAAAGTAATTAGCAGATGTCTGGCACCTACTAAGGGCCCCATAAGAAGGTGAGGTGTTACTGTTTTAACGTGTAACTGAGTTATGGTGGCATTGTGTCACTTAATTTTCTCAGGAGGGCTGTGAAAAAATTTTGAACGTCTTATTTTAGTATAATTTCAGACTGTTAAGAAAAGTTGCAAAAAACAGTACAAAAAATTCCTAAACACCCTTCACCAAGACCATATATATAAATATACATATTTTCCTTCCTGAACTGTTTGCAAATCGGATTCATACCTGATGGTTCTTTACCCCTAAGTACTTCATTGCGTATTCCCTGAAAGCAAGGACATTCTCTTTTGTAGTCACAGTTTAATGATCAAAATCATGAAATTGACATCGATACAATACTATTGTCAGCAGGACATGTTCAGACTTTGCCAATTGTCCCATAACATCCTATATAGCAAAAGAAAGTCCTGTATCATATATTGCATTCAGTTGTTCTGTCTCCTTCATCCCCTTGAGTCAGTGGCAGGTCCCCAGTCTTTTTTGTCTCTCATGACCTTGACATTTTTGAAGAGTACAGGTCAGCCACGTTCTTCAGGTTTGTCTGTTGTTTCCTTGTAGTTAGATTCAGGTTGGGTGTTTGGGACAGTAACACATCTCAGTGCATCACATCATTGTGAACATTTTGTTCACAACTTTACAATAGGGTCCCCTCATGGGAAGAGGTGGGGAACATTAGACCACCTGTATGAGAAACCCTGAGGGACTCGATAAACATGTAGACACCCCCCAGTACCCCTGAGAGTGTGGGCCAGGAATCTGCGTGGTTAACCCTGCATCCTAAGTAACCAGCTGATAAACGTTCTTTTCTTCCAGCCATGACATTCCAAGACATGGCCAGTAGATGGCGCTGCACTCTGCACTTTCAATGGAGCGTCCGCATTTCTGGAAAGATCTCACTGTAAACGCTTCCTGTGAATTCAAGCTAACATCTGCCAGGAGAGCTTGGCTGCTTAAGCTGCCGGCTTCCTGCTCTCCCCCCTGTCCCTTCAGAGTGATTTCTCTGGATGCCCGAGGACCTCAAAGCTGTCAGCACTCACTTGGTGGTTCCTAAGCCAGAGATGACACACTCCTGGAGGTGAGAGACCCCTCTTTCTGAAGAACTAGCCAGGGGCTATTAAAATAATAAGTTATAATGCCCCCAACTAGCATTTACTGAGAGCTTATTGTGTGGTAGGCACTGTGACAAGCACGACTCATTTACTTTCTTCTCATTAAGGCTCACAAAACCCCCCCTAAGGAGTGGGTTGTACAGAGGCAGTGACCTGCCTAAGGTCACATGGCAAATCACTGCCGCCACCTCCGTTTCCATCATGGCTGGTACCTGTGCTTCAGTTACAGGAGGGGATGGGGAACAATAATGTCTGTGTTGCAGGTTTGTGCTCTGAGAGCTCTGGGATTTGTCCTGAGAAGGGAGAGAATTTTCTCCCCTGCCTGTGGGGCTGGGGTGACTCGGCCAGGGGCTGCAAGGGACAGACACTGGGTCAGTCCCCTGTAGGGAAAGGGAGCTCAAATGGTCAGAAAAGCAGAAACAACATGGCTCACAGCACATGGAGGGCCAACGAGACTGCTGTCTAGCAGACTCAGGGGCTGGAGGGACTGCGAGCCTTTCAAAGGCTAGGGGACACTGTAGGACATTCACTCTGTGTAATGTCCAGTCTAGAGCAAATCATATTTGTTGAATTTGCTTTCACTTATTTAATGCTTTTCCAATAGATTGCATTGAGGAATTTTCAAGGGAAGGGATACACAGTACCTGGGAGGATGGTGTGAACTGAGCCTGGAGACTGGGCAGGGAGTGGTTTTCACCTGGAGGTGTGGGAGGTGGAGATTTTCACTGATGGGTGTGGTCAAGAGACGTGTCCTAAAAAACAGACAAGTTTGGAGCTTTGGAAGGCATCCTTATCTATATCTACTGCTATTGAGGCAGACATTGCGAGTTGCCTGTGGAAGACCTCATCTCCTTTTCTTCCTTATTAGCAGAACCCTGAATTCACTGACGTGGCCGCTTGCCCAGCTGAAGAGCTACATTTCCCAGCACTGGCAGCTGGTCCTGGCCAATGAGCTGTGAGCCAAAACGCTGGGTGGCTGTATTAGCCTGGATTCATACAGGAGAGAAAAACCACATGGTGATTTGAATAGGGGACGTTTAATATAAAGAATTATTAACTGTAACAGGGGATTGCAGTCATGAGAGATTGGCTAGCAAGAAGCAAAGAGAACTCTGAAGAATATGGGGGTAAAGTAGCTGATATAAGGGAGTGGCCACGACTCTGAGGGGTGAGATAGTTTTCCCTCCCCCTTTCTTTCACCACAGGGCTGAGATTCAGATTTTGTTGGAGGCTTTGGCTGTAGCCGAGAAGTCACTGTGCTCTGTGCTGCTGGAACTTGCTGGAAATCTGTCCTCTGGAACTTCTCAGAAAACGGCTCTCTCTGGTGCCAGGGAAAGGTATTCCCAGGGAGGTGTCTCCATGGAGGCACTCAGATACCAAATCACCAAAGGTGGGGGGCTGGGGGAAGCTCCTGGCCTCTCGGTATTGCTGGCTGCCATACACTGCAGGAACCTGGTGCTGGAGTCACTGCCTGTGGTGTAGGAGGCTGCTGAATGAGTATCCCCGAAACAGGAAGGGGTGGGCTCTTGTGAAAACCCTTTAAAAGGGATCAGGTTTGGGGAGTTTGTCCCTTTTGCACATTGATCTTTTCTTTCTTCCTGCAGCCTGGATGCAGAATGCAGTGGACTTGGAGCAGGTCTGCAGCTAACATGTAATTTGAGAAATAAACCATTGTGGTGGTTAACCTCTAAGACCTTGGGGTTGTTTGTTCTGCAGCATAACCTGGTGAATTAGTTAGGACTAATACACATGAAGACTGTTTTATATAGCCATTGCCAGTTTAAGTAAATACAAAATCCCTCTGTTTTGTAAAAGACTACGAGAAGGTTTATGAATTATGGTTAAAGAAAGAACGAATAAGGCCTTATTCAAAGGAAAAGGGAAAAAGTTATAAAAATATTTCCTGGACATTAGAAATACTGGTGCTTACAAATTTGTTACAGGATCATGCAAAGGAATAAAAAGAAAAAAATGAAAAAGAGAGAGATAAAGATAAAACATTAACAGAAAAACAAACAAACAAACAAACATGAGAATACAGTGTTTATATGCAACTCAACAGACTCCCTGATGTTGCTCAGGAAAATAAAAGGAATATTATTAAAGCAATAAAGACTGGTTGCTGCTTACCTAAAGGCCATGTCAAGTTACCTGTGTGAGATACAGTTGGGAACGTTTCTCTGTACTCGAGACTTATGATTTGAAGCCACTATGTTCTCACCTCAACGTGCCTTATCTGTCCTCATCAGCAGACACACGGGCTTCCCGCTGAACTGCGTTTTGGAATGACCTTTGAGGCGTCCCCAGGGATCCACAAAGTTAATAGCTTTTGAGTCAGACACTTCAACACATCGTCTCTCAGTTTAGTGAGGATCCAGCTATTGGCTTTCATTGAATGTGGCAATAGACAGAAGTAATTGGCTTAGATGGGTAGGAGGAGGAAAAGAGGGCAGAGTCAAAGCCCCGATGACCTTCTCCAATACCTCTCAGATGAGCAACAGCAGCCGCAGAGACCAAATGACAGAGCAAGGAAGAGAAGAATGTGTCACCTAGAATGAACTTGGCAAATTTGAGCAAATTGGCAAGAGTGTCTTCCAGGCACACGGAGATATCTGCAGCACCTTAAGGAAGACCTTGAGAGCCCCTGCCTATCTCCCCAATAGTAAGTAGGGGCATGTTCTTCAAAGTAAGTGTGGGGCCCCAGAGGGGTCTGGCCAATATCTTCACTTGGCTGAGGACTCAGGGCAGAGATGGACTCAAGAGACTGAGGGAAGGTCACACCTTGGGCCTGTCCTCAAGCTCAGTGATGGTGGGAGCCTGTAACCTCGCCACCCTTATTTTCTCTGAGCTGGGTTCCTAACTGAGATAAGCTGCCTGAGTGCAGGGTGAAGACAGGAAAGATGGGAATGAGACTCTGACATAGCCTTTTCACAATGCCAGCTGACCAGAGATAAATAAACTGATCCACACTGGATAAAGGGCGGTTCAAGGCTTTACCATGAGCCACAGGTCACTACGGGATACAGAGAATCTGAATCAAATAACTAATCAGGTTGACATTAGTGATAAACTTGCATTGTGTATCCTGCAAACAGAGACTATATCCTCTATTGAAACATCCATGAGAGCATGTACAAAAATCGACCATGGCTATAAAGAAAAGTATCAGTATCAGTACCTTTCCCCACAAGAGAAATAGAGACCTTCATCACTACCAAATAATAAAACCAGAAATTAAAACAAAAATAGAAATGAGACAAAAACCAACCACATGGAAAATTTAAAGCCCCCTCCTCAAAATTTAAAACTCCGTTTGAGAACAAAAGGAAGTCAAAATTTCAAGTTCAAAGTAGATTGGGAAAAAAAAGAAAGAAAATACTTCGTGTCAAAGCAATGAGATACAGCTAAAACGATATTGAAAGGAAAATGTAGTCTTAAACACTTATATTTCTGAAAAAGAAAAAGAGAAACGAAGATAAATGAATCATTCAACCCCAGAAGATATAAAATGAGCGACAAAATAAATCTAAGGAAAGAAGGACAGAATAAAGACAAGGATAAATTAATGAATCAGAAAACAAAACAAAGGTGGAATTGATAAATTGAAGCGCTGATTCATTGTGGAAAAAAAGCCTCACAGAGTAAAATAGATAAGCCACTAGCTAGCTTAATCAAGAGGAGAAAAACATATACGGAGAAGGCACAATTAGGAATGAGACATGACAGAAAAGCACAATAAAAGAACATTTTAATATGTATTTTTAAATTACATAAATAATGCATGGGTACATGTGCAGTTGAAATAGAAGTCAAATAAATAAAAATAGGGTACAGAGTTAAAGCCCTCTGTATCGGCTTGCTAGGACCACCACAAGGTAGTTTAGACAACAGGAATTTATTTTCTCACAGGTCTGGAGGCTAGAAGTCCAGGATCAAAGTGTCAGTCAGCAGGATTGGTCTCTTCGGAAGCCTCTCTCCTTGGCTTGCAGATGGTCGCCCTCTTGCTGCCTCTTCACATGGTCTTTCCTCTGTACACACCTACCCCTGGTATCTCTTTGTGGTTCCCAATTTCCCCTTCTTATAAAGACACTAGTTAGTTTGAATTAGGACCCACCCTAATGGCCTCATTTTAACTTAGTCGCTTTTTTACATGCTTTATCTCCAAATATAGTCACATTCAGATGTACTGGGTGTCAGGGCTTTGGCATATGAATTGGGGGGGAGGAGGACACAATTCAGCCCATAACACCCTTCTTCCACCCCCCCCAAAGTCCCACCTCTCTCCCCAAAAGTAACACAATTAATCAGGCCCTCCCATGACATTTGTGGGGCCCAGGACAAGAATCAAACTGAGGCCCACATGCCACATATCTACACATCATTTTGTAAATCCATTTAACAAACAGTTAAATTAAAATGTTATATTCTCCTGCCTGGACAAACATACTTTCATATCGACCTGGAAAACCAGGTTTGGATTTAGAATTTCTGCGCTCGCCAGAGGTCCTTGGCAGAACACGGCAGTGGGGTCTCCCTTCTCGTCCCATGCCCGCTCTGTCTACACCACGAGGGCCGTGTGCACACATGCGGAGACTCCAACCTGCAATCCACGTTCCTCCACACCCCCCTCAAACAGTGCCTCTTGGTTTCTCATTGGGCTGAGCAGTGGTGTACTCTGTCCTCAGGAGGATGTCCTCCGTGAGTCCCTAACAGTCCCTGGAAGGAATGCCAGAGTCCCAGGCATAGGAAGCCTGGTCTAGAAGGAAGGCTCAGGCTCTAGATGGGTGTGTTCCCAGTGGGGAGTGATGCCCCTGGAGGGAGCCTGGGTGGGCTCCTCTAAAGTGAAAGCTCAAAGCAGGCACAGGTCCCTCCTGCGCAGGCCTAAGAGTAATACTGCCACAACTAGTTATTACTGGGTGTCTTTTCAGTCCATTTTCCATCCACTTTGTATATAAAAATGAGATTTGAATTCCAAAATTAATGTCTATTAAAAAAACAAATTCTCTATTTTTGTCTATTTTCCCTCCCCCCCATTATGTCTTGTAGATCTTTCTATGTCAGCATACATAAATCTACTTTATCCTCCTTAACTGTTGCATGTTATTATGCCATATAAAGTTGGGGGTGGGGGTGGTGGAACAGAATTATAAAAGCCTATTTATCACAATGCAGTGTTAATTCTCCCGAAAATTAAGATGATTTAAAATCAAGGTAAGTTTTAAAACTACAAATCACCAAAATTGACTTAAGAAGAAATAAGAAAGCCAAACAGACTAATAACTATGGAGGTAGCTGAGGAAGTTGTCCAAGAGAACTCCATAGTTGCTTTCCAACCAACAAGTGACCGATAATTCCAAAGCTCATCAAACTCTTCCAGAGCATAAAGAAATAAAGAAAACCGCCCACTTGTTTGTTTGTTTGTTTTGTTTTGTTTTATGAAGGCTACTAATATTGCTAGGGATTGAAATGTTATCATCTCTCTAAATTCATATGTTGAAGCCCTAACTCCCAGTGTGATGGTATTTGGAGGCGGGGCCTTTGGGTGGTTTGGTTTAGAAGAGGTCATGAGGGTGGAGCCCTCATGATGGGATTAGTGCCCTTATCAGGAGAGGCACAGAGAGATTTCCCTTTCTCTGTGTTAAGACGCAGCAAGGCAGCCATCTGCAAAG